ATCTCATTAGGCGCGTCGACTTCTCATAGTAGTGCCGAATGCGATAGACCCGACTTTGGATGCCTCGATTGGGATACAGCTGTTGCAGGTCGGCCAACATGAACTCAATATCGCTGCGATATTGCAGCAGCATCCACATATTACAGGCCCCGACCAACGTCAGGCCCATCACGCTGCAGGTCTCCGAAATCTGTGCTACAATTGTGCTAAGCTTGTCGTACTGTGCCTCTGCCATGAACAGATAGATGACCATGCCCAAATTTTGATAGATCAGATTCAAGGCACCAAATTGAAACCACAGACGCTGAGCCAATGTCTGATGAACACGTGGCGTCTCGCTGCCAAACCACTCGTAGCACCGCATCATCGCCAGTCGGCAGCCAATGTCCGGATAGTGCATGAAGTCCTTCAGCCGCATGATGAACCACTCGTAAAGTTATTGCCAGCCTGGTTGAGTTAGCGGTAGCTTTTATAGCATTTTTTCGATGCGGCGGCATTTGCGAATAATCAAAGCGCTCGTTAAATAATTTTCCTTGCCTTTGAAATTGAGCAATTTGTTTGGATTTCTTAGACAATTTTTAATGAGCTCCTGGGAATGAGCATCTGATCGATTCGATTGGTTACTTATAATCATTATAACTAGGACTAACAAGAAAAAATGACCCACAGCTGCCATCAGTTTTCAACAATTCCCACAAAATATCCTTTTAGTTTTTTTTTCTACCAACTTGTTCAATTTGCATGAACTTTTAGTCAAGGCTGCAAACACTTTAAATATTAATATAAAAAGCCGAACCGAAGTACTTTTAAATATTTAATATTTCTATTTGCTGTTTGGTAAGTGTGCAAGTTTCGTCTCTTGTGAAAAATTGCAAAAGTTCTGAGAGCACTGCGCAGATTTATCACCGTTGCTGCTTTTAGCCATGGCTAAAGTCTGCTATTTGCCATAATAGAAACGTAACTGGCCGCCATCATTTTGGCTAGCACGGGAAGAAATGAAATCCAGGTGCACATTTATAAAATGGACCTGCACTGAAAGCACAATTATCTAAACATGATTAACCTAATTGTTAATAGTTATTGTCAGCGAAACAATGTTTACATCTTTTGCGACCTTCTACAAAAGATATTAAAAGTAACATAAAGTTCAGAGGAACCAGTTCCAGGAAAATTTCGAACTGGCTCGAAGAACTTGATACCACATGTATATTTATTGATAAATAGTTGAATTTTTAAACCAATTTGATGATTTTCTTTTGTAAAATCCAGGTTGACAGTGATCTTAACTTATATAAACATTTGTAATGGATAAGATATTTTAATATCGTTCACGTTATAAATAGTGGCTTAGAATGGCTTTATATGATTCAGTATTATTTTACTTCTTGTTTTATTCACTTTCTGCTTGGCTTCCCACTCTATATAAAATCTCGATACTTATTCGCATAATAATCGATTTGCTTAGATTGGCTATGGGACAAGCTTGCTAGATGCTTACACTCTATAGAAAAGGCCAGCGAAAATTTCCCCAGATATAACTTTTCCACCCATTTCCCGCCGTGATAATTTTAAATCCATTCAAGAGCGGTGGGAAACAATTATCTAACAAATTTTTAAAAACATCTCTGAAAATGAGTTGGAAAACGATCTGATTGTTGAATATCTAAAATCACAGAAAAGCGTATTTAATAAATTTTTATGTTTTAAGCAAATCGAACAAAACTTAAAGCCTTACCTACAAAATCTTTGACTCGAATTTTCCATCGAGGAGGCCTACATTGGACGAAAAATGTAAAAAAAATGTTTTCCAGCAATGGAACAAAACTTAAAACTGCGCCCAAAAAGTATTTGAATCGCATTTTTGCTTGCATTTTTTGACCTCCATTTCCACCAAGATTCCTTCTTGGTTGGATGTTCCGAAAAGTGTGAGACACACTTCAAATGAATATGAATAAATTTCTTTAAAAATAATTTTTTAATCAAACAATTTTCATACAAACGTGTTTTGCGATTTTCCCACACTTGCTTGTGGAATTTCCCAAAACCCCGTGTTAGCGTGCACCTTTATGACATAAGGTAACTACAGTTAGAATTTTAACTTTCCAGTTCTTGCAGTTTTGGCTGTTGATTGACCCCCAATCAGACAGTTAGTCAGTCAGGACGAAGAGTTTTTTATTTTGAAAAAAAAGTGAAAAATTAAAGGCAAATTTATCACCATTTCTATTGAATCGATCGGGTATATTTGCTCGTGGGTTTGTCTTTATGCTTGTATATATGTGTTTGTGCATTTGTAGGTTTTCTTTCAGGTGCCGTGTGCACTGAGAAGCTTGTGACAAGCAAATAACGAAGACAGTCGCATGTTTATTTCTTTTATATTTGTGTCAACCTCATAATGTGATGCCTTTAAGCTGGCTATCAGTCTTTTATATTTAGCTCGCATCTGTTGCCAGCAGCGCTGGCTGGCATCATTGTGCGTCTATTCCTTTAAATGTCTGTGTCTGTGTCTGTGTGTTTGTCTGTTCGTGTGCGAGCTTGTGCACTCCATTTCCGCCGGAAGCTTTGTGCCAAACAGTCAGATTCGGCGCGCACTCGTATATGTTTCGTACTTACCGCTTGATGCCTTGTTTATTTCTTTGTTTATGGCCATTCTTGTTTTTATGGTTGCCTCCTTTTTTTTTTCATTGTCCCACCGCAGCTTTCTGAATGTCACTTTTATATTTATGTGGTTTGTACGGTTTGCGCCTCATATGGTAAGTCTATGGGTAGTGTGAGGAAAGTCTATGTCTATGGATTTTTCGTGCCTTGGCCCTTTTGCTTTATGCTTCAGTTATTGTGCTTCTTTATCCTTGTGAATTCGTTAGTGTTTATTGTTTTTTTTTTTCTCTTTTTTTCACGTCACCTCTCGTCGGTCGTTTGTTGTGGTAATTAAACTTTGATTGCTTTCAAATTGTTTTTATTGATTGACAGAGTTAACTTCAATTTTACCAGAATACTTCCTTCTAACGAGTTCTGCTTGATCGACAATTTCACTGGAAATTCCGTTGGCATTTTTCGACTGAAAGCAATTTAAAACAATTGCTGCTGTCATTCGAAACGATAATTGAACTAACAATTTGTGCCAAAACAGTAAATTAAAATGTAATTTGTATTTCAATTTCCATTATAAATTTAAAACTTGTGTTTTTTTAATTCCATAAAATATGTACAATTTTCATAACACAAAATCCTATAATATTTAAAATAAATAACATTAAAGCGAACTGAAAAAGTTTGAGATATTTAGCCGCATAATTATTATTGTTAATAATATATGTTTTCTGCTAGATAGCTTAACTTTCAGGCCTCTAGTATCTCTATATTCATTCTCTATTGATTCCAATTGTGCTGTAGCAATTTTCGCATTATATGAAAAGGAGCTGATGCTTTCAGCCACTTTGGACGCCATTTGGCCAACAATATGTGCTCAACGTGTGCCATGGCCAAGACAAACTGAGCGCAGAATATTTGGCAACGGCAACAATATTGTTCTGGCCAAATATACTTGCCCCATAGATAGATCTTGAGTGCGGCACGTACACAACGTCAATTGCCAGGACTCTGCTCAAGCTCAAATCGAGCGGCAGCTGCGCGAAATAGACAATCTAAATTATAACCAAGTGAAGGCGGGCAAAACGGCATAACGGCGATTGAAGGCGGCGAGAGTGTGAGTAATAGTTTTGGCTGGCAGCGGGTCCGCCTGGAATTTATGGACGCAGTCCAGCCAAGTGCCACGCCACTACCCTGGTAGTCACTTTGAATACTTGGCAGCCAATGGCAACGGCATCCATCTTGGGCACTGACAACTGTAAAGAAGTGCGTCCAACTGTTGGATTTATCGATCCGTTCGCCGAGGGCAGCCTTTTAAACTAATTAGGCTTGGGCCAACAGTCAAGCATACCCATGGCAAACACATGCTACTAATTTCGAGGAGAATTCTGGAATTAACGTGCTTGTTTTTGGCCGCAGCTTAAATAAATTGCCAAAATACTTAGATTGGGTTAGGTCCGATCCGGTCGACAGTAAGCGTATGACCCATTTCAGACCTTGGTCAGCAGCAATAAATTCAATCGAAACTAAATTTCAAGCGGCAACTTTTGTTTGCGTTGTTTACAAGATTGTTCAGACCCCTATCCATTCTCCCCATTATCCCCATATATTTCACCTTCTCCCACTCCACAGTAAGCTCGGCTGGGAAATTTATGTGCATCGCCCATGAAAATTAAACGGTTTTTTTTTTCAGTTTACGAACAGCACAGCTGCTTCGCCTTTCAACTTGGGAACTATTCTGGAAAATAGTGTGAAAATAGTGTGAAAAATTGTTTTTGCTGCCGCTCACAAAATTTAAATTAAGATTAATTATTCAGCATTATACAGCATGGAATTTATTTGTTTTCATTGCATTTATTTGGATCTGCCAAAACATTTTTCTATTCTTTAATTCATATGCTCATACATATACACAAAAGTATGAGCTGGAGCACGCTCTCACGCTCTCTCAGAGCTGAAGAGGGTAAGCACTCACCTATTAAGAGTATAAAGTACCTTGTCATATAAGTATTCAGAGAATCGGTAGAAATTGGCGAGCAACGTGCCAAAAATATAAATTGAGTATCAATTTACTCTCTTAACTCTTTTGTGTACTTAAAAAACGCGTAAACAAAAAATAGAGACCAGCTTGTGGTATGAGAGAATGTTCGTGATATGATTATGATATGTCGTAAAATGATCATATGTTTCAATCTCTCAGTGTCTCTTTCACGCCTTCTCTCCCGCTCTTTCTCTATATTAAAGGAATGTATTCGCTAAGTGTTTCTTTAGTTTACGTCCAACCGGCAGCAGCTTAACACGCTAAGCGAGTGTGCTACGAAATATGTACAAAATATATATATATACCGTGCGTCATGCAGTGATATTGTTGTTGATAAGAATTTAGCTCATTTGTTTATAAATTTGCCGGCAATTAAGTGCAGATAATTATATATTAAACTAACAACTGAAACTTAAGCACAATATGGCTATTTCAAATATTTTGCAACTGAATACCTATTGTATTTTTGAAATATTGCATCAGATTAGAATCAATTGTGAAATATCTAAAAGAACGGATAGATTGGATATATTTACATACGCAGATCTCGTAAGTTTTGCGCTTGCCTGTGAATGGTTTCGCGATGTATTCTGGATATGGAACCCCCGTCTTTATGAACGTCTCGAGATCGAGCAAACTTATTTAAATAAATCTTCAAATGTCATCGTGGAATTTGCCAAACATTACAAACGACTGCAGCATTCAAAGCAGAAAGATAAAGATACATTTTGGAAAACGTTCATGGATGCACTTAAATTCAATAGCAACTTAGAAGGTGTCAAATTGATTTATATTATTGGAGATACGTATTACAGCGAGCATGGTGCTATATTCGACATGCTCTTACGTGCACTTCAAGACAATTGCAGTAGCCTAAAGTCATTAGTAATTGATATGTTAGGTGAGTTTTGTATAAGCTAACTACAAAACTATGGGTACACAACTATATTTCTCTCGCATTTCCAGGGTATTCTTTAAGTAGTTTGCAACAGTTCCGTAACCTTGAGCACCTTCAACTAAATGTAAGAATTGATGCTATGGAGTTGGCTGATTACTGCGAGTCGAATCCAAACTTGACAAGATTAGAGGTAATGAGTAATGAAATTTACGGAAAGCTAACTGACATTGTGCCGCATTGCAATCAATTGGAAAGTCTCGCATTTAAGGTGAAGAGCGACTTTGATGACTCTGAATATACACCGGTAGCTAAATTGCCAAAATTATGTGATCTGCGAATAGAAGGAGATCACGAAATTGGTTCCCTGAATACACTTTTCAACGCATTAGCTAAAAATGAACAAACAACTCTTACAAACCTTATGATTGATAAAGCTCCCATCCATTGTGATGAGATTGCCGAAGTCTTGAAAATACAAACACTACAAAAATGCATATTCAACGGAATTCAAGGTCTTGTTATAATAATTGACTCAATAAGGTTCGATCAAAACTTGGCAAAAGTAACTTTATACTTTAAAAAGGAACTTGACGCTACCAAATTGGCTAAATTGGCTAGTTTAATAAATATAACATGCTTACTCATTGTTGGAAAGCATAAGATCGGTTCGTTAACAAAACTCTTTACGAAGATAGCTGAGCAAAAATCGCCGAAGCTTGAACAGTTAAGATCTACTTCAGATATGGATTTTAATAAAGATCGAGATATTGATGAGGATATTGAGAGCATTTTTATGCCGTATTCGAGTGGACCCATTACTACCCTGAATAATGAAGAGATGATCGAGGTCTTAAAAATAAAGTCTCTGAAAGTTTTAGATTGTCAAATCGATGATCATCGGGCTATTGAATTTCCAACCCGATTGCCTAAAATTGAAAAAATATCTATAAAAACGTGCGGAGGCGGATCTTTGGCGAATCTTTTCCATGCATTTGCATTACAAGAATGCCCGAAACTCACAAATTTATCCATTTTTGGTTTCCCACTCAGCCACGATGAGATTTTGGAAATAGCAAAAGTTCAATCCCTAAGTAGCTTAAATTGCGGATTTACCGATTTGAACAGCATTAATTATTTGACACCACTTAATCAGCTCGAATTACTTGTGATTAACTCACAGCATCAGCTCTACAAAGTTTCGGAAGCAGTTTTGAATCTTTTCATAGCTTGTAATGGGAATTTTAGTATATTTTATGAAGACAATCGCTTAAGTATGGATAAAAATATGCGAGCACTAACCATAACAATGAGTGAAAGTACAAGTTCTGGAGATTTTGAACTCCTATCAAATTTGCCCAATTTACCAATTCTAATAATACATGGAAAACATCAGCTCGGATCACTTACCCCCCTGATGAAAGCATTTGCCTCAAAACGATCTTCGTGTCTTCAAGAATTGTGCATTGAAATGGATCCCATTGGTTTTAATGAAGTTACACAAATTGCTCAAATTAGAACATTAAGATATTTAAAAAGCGAATTCTCCGATCTTGAAAGCATTAAGCTCTTGCGAAATTCGCCTAATCTTGAAGTATTGAGAATAAATTCGGAGCACGATTCTCGGGATATAGGAGAAGGTGTTCTCAATGTTCTAATGGGAGGTGCAAATGAAATATCTGTTTATAGATTTGGTCGAGAGATTACGTTTAATAAAAGTCTCCGTACGCTTACAATTTCAAACGATGGCTACACTAATGCAGACTTCGACGCCCAAGAATATGCTGTGTTAGCTGAACTTCCAAATCTTGGCTCCTTGCATATAAGAGGAGAGCACAAAATAGGATCATTCAAAGATTTATTCCAAGCGCTTGCTGCAAGAGAATGCTCAGTTCTTCAGGAGATAAACGTAGATAGCAGGAGTAATGCGATAGGGCATCCCCCAAAACAAACATTTAACTATGAAGAAACAATAGAATTAGTCAAAATATTGACCCTAAAGAAACTAAAATGCGGCTTTTCAGATGGGAAGAGCATTGAGCTCTTGTCGCAGCTAACAGACCTTGAAGAACTCGTGATAACAACTCATCCAGAAGGTTCCCTAATACAGTTCCTGCACTCATTAGTTCTGCGAGAATCGTCGAAGCTTCGATGTTTGGTCATAAAAGACAAATCACTTACTTGTGAAGAAACTGCCCAAGTGGCAAGAGTTAAATCCTTAAGGAGATTAGAATGTGGATTTGTCGATGGGAAAAATATTGAATTATTGATCCAACTGAATCAACTGGAAGAACTTATAATAAGGAATCTTGAACGAGACCCAATGTCACGCCTTTTTCATATGTTGGCTTCTATAGAACCCAAAACTCTTCAAATCTTAAGTATACAAAGTACACCCATATCATATATTGAAACTGAGGCTATTGCAAAAATTAAAAGCCTACGAAGCTTGCAGTGTGAATTCGCTGAGATTAAAAGCATGGAACTTTTAGTAAAATTACCAGAGCTTAAAGAGGTCGCTGTCAAATTTCATGAGTCTGAATCCGAAGAAATTAAGAGTCTCGCGCAGTTAAATATGCTAACTGATCTTCAAATAACATCACCAAATGTTGGGTCTCTTACTGAACTCTTCAAAGAGATATCGCTAAAGCCAACCGGGCCGATCTTACAAAACCTGGTTATTGAAAATAATGACGTAGACGTAGAAGAGTTTCAAGAAATAATAAAGGTGAAATCCCTACGACGACTTAAATGTGGGTTAATCGAAGAAAAATGCTTTCAAGATTTGCGACTTTTAAAAAATCTAGAAGTTCTGGAAATAACTTCATATCATAACTTTGATAAAATTTGGCGCACCCTTTTGGAGATTTTCAAAGTTTGCTGCAAACTAAAAGCAATAGATTTTCATTATGGCTCTCGATTCGTTAGCCTGCAGTTCGTTAGTGAAGCTTTAAAGATCCTCAGAGAAGTAAGAAATCCAATGGAACAGAGTCCACTACAGTTGCGCATTCCATTCTTTGGAGGCCTAACGCCTGAGCAAGTGAGTTTATCTATAAACTTGAGTCAGACGCAAGTTGTATACTCTATTTCTTCTGTTTCTTTCAGATTGGTATAGCTGATGAAGCGTATTTGATTATATCTAGTTTTAAGAATGATTCGTAATGTGAGTACTTTTCAGATTAAGTAAAAACTTTGTTTCTCAGCTACACGTTATTTCTTGTAAATATAAAATTAATTTCCTTATTGATTTTAGCTTATTTTAATTACGTTAAAATGTTCAAAGGGAGATCAAATATTTTTTGCTGTTTGCATCTGGACAAAAATACTCAAATTGAATTACTTAATAAGCCTTTTTTTACTACTCATTAAGTTTATTGGACCAACGATGGAAATGTCGCCAAGTAGTGTTCCACACAAAGGTCGTCCTCAATCGCAATCTCTCAGATTTAATTTAACTAATTCAACAGAGAAACAATTGAAGTTGGCAACAGAAAGTCAAAGTTGAACTCGATGGAAAGGAGGAGGCGGTCGCACCTTTGGATGCCAATAAATTCGTTGCTAATTAGGTAATGAAAGTATGTAATTGATGCTGGCCTCAGCGCCTTTAAGTTGTCCTATACCCTGAATTTTGCCGTCAGTTGAAAATACTTTTTCATGCAGATCAAAGGGAATGCAGACATAGCTTTTATACCCTTTTACTAAAATCTAACGAGCATGTAAATCACGCACCAACACACTCGCAAACAGGCTTACTCAGATACACATACGTCAAGAACTGAAAATATATATACACAAGTCGAGGCATAAATCACAATTTCTTAGCCATTAAGACGAAACCGCAAAGATTTGCGGCACTTCTAAAGTTGATGATGAAGCGAAAGCGTCGGGCTTTGGCTCCTAAGCGTCATGGGCCTGGAATCCAAATGGGTGGGGCCAAGAGTTTGGGGCGTGTGGCAAGGACGGCAAAGAATGCAAACCTCAAACACTGCCACAAACTAAAAGTTTCACTTAAAATGTTATTAATCGTAAATGATATTGTGGTGGGCTAACCAGATGTTGCGCAGTGTATTTATTTATAAGCTCTAATATTAGTTCAGAGAAAACTGTCTATTACAAATTCTATTTCTAATTTACATTGGCCACAATGTAAGAAGTTAGCTAAGTAAAATTTCTCTCAGTGTAGAGACCAGAGTCATGGCTCAACAATTTCTTTGCTTGTTGCTAACAGGACAAGAGCCATCACGACATTTTGAAGAAGCCAACAAAAATGTTTGGCACTCGCGACCATAGATACATTTGTATAAGCGACCGCAGCTGAGTATAAAGATCCGGGGCAGAGTTTGACATATAGACACACATTCATATACATATACATATGTATTTTGAATCGCAGTCGCGGTTAGTTGTAATGTATGGCAAATGTTTTAAATCAAATGCCGAATTAGCTACTTTACGAGTCACTGAAGTTTCTTTGGCCACAAAACGTTGGATCTTAAAGTATGGCATGGCATTTGCTTGGTATGTGGCGACTTTAATTTGCTTTCACTTTACCAAATAGCCGCAAATAAATTCCGGGTCCATTCTTTTGGCGGCATGAGGCAAGAGCAACCAGTAAATTACATTTGCACGACCCTCTCCCGACCCGCTAACAAATTGCTATTGCATTTTGCTGTGTTGGCCGTGGAGCTGAGCTGGTGTCTGCCCAAAAAGTAGGCAGCAGTTGGTAGGCGCCTAGCTACCTGCAATTTCCTACACTTTATTTCACACTTGGCCCCAAACAGCGAACACATAAGGTGTGTCCATTTTATCTTGTTGGCCTCCCCCCCCCCAAATGCTGTAACATCGAGTGAAAAACTTTTCTCGGCTGTTTTTGCTTTTGCTTTTAGTTCGCCTACTTAGTTACTTACCAACGACCCAGTTACACTTTCTAGCACTTTACGCCACCTGGCCATAGACACACGTGTGTGTGTGTGTGTGTGTGTGGGTGTCTGGTTATATGTGAAGTAATTCAACTATTGCGGCTGCATTTGTTGCTGCCAGCCTGAGAACAAGATAAATTAGGCAAAAGTAGTTTGGACAACTGGGCGTCTACGCTACGAGGTCCCAAAAAAATATGGTTTATTTTGGAGACAACCATCTTGTACATTTCGCTTTCATTTTTTCTGTCAAATTAACTACAATTATTTTTTAAATTAAATACTTATCTTTAATGTATCAATATAAAAATGTATTACTTTAATTAACAGAAAATCTTGGATATTTCACTTTTACTTTTGTATGTCTTTGACTTGAGATATTTTTTCTCAAACATCTAGCTTGTGTGTTGAGCTCTTAACTTTAGTTGATGAAAATCAATTCACATTTAGTTTTCTAATATTTTAAATATTTACACACTCGTCGCATTATGCCAAGCAGCAGCACCAAGAAGTCATTTGCAGAGCAAATTTTTAGCCAAAATACTTTGAGCAAGTATTCTAGCCAAAAGTTTTCAAGTCTGACCAAGTGTTTATTCGTGCATTGAAAACGGCTTTCAATGCAAATGATTTTCATTTGAAGTGCTTCCACCTTGACTCTAGTTTCTTGTTGACTTTTGTGCATGTGTTCAAAAAGTTTCATTGCATTTGATTATTATTTTACGATATAGAAATAAATTATTTTGTAACTTTTATAGTGGAAAGGATTTTATTTGAATCTTCGGAACGTTATGAAACCTTTGAGGCTACTTGAACGCTTTTTGCATTTGCACGTTTATCCTTACCGCAGGATTGCCGCTTATTATCCTTGCAATAATAGCGCAGTTGGCTGTTTTGTGCCACTTTGTTGCACAGGTAGAAATAATTTTCAGAAATTATATATGACCACTTAGGTTGTCATTAACGTTAACGACCTGGCCAAGAAGCAATGGAAAAAAGGCCAGGCATGTTGAGGGCATTATGAAATGCTTAACAGCACGACTAAGTGGCAAGCCGGCAAGCTTGTGAATTTTTTGGGGGCCTCCAGTCGGCGGATCGGTGGCAGTGCTTGTAGTGTGCTTGGGTAATCCAAAATTAATGGCCTGTCAGTCAGACAGGCGACCACGCCATAGCCAACCGCCAACAGGCAACAGCCACGTGTTTGGCCTTTCGACGCCTGTGTTGGCCCGCTGCAATTTTGCCTCATTTCGGCTGCAGCTTGGCCACTTACAACTGCAAGTTCTGCTACATCCTGTCTTTGTGTAAATTTCCGCTTCCTTTTGGAGAGTGTTTGCTGGCTGGCTGCAGGAGTCAAACCAGTCCGGAGCCGCTTAATCGAAAACGTATGAATGTAGCACAGGCCCAGGACAAGGCCCATTCCACGATACTCTCGAGCAGCACGGGACAGGCATCTGCTGGCAAAGCCGCAGCACTCACTGCACTTAAGTCCTTTTCATATTGCTCTTTTTCGGTACGTATCCTCCAACGGGTGGAGGACATAATGCTGCAGCAGCAGTCAAGTTATTACAAGCGCCAAAAAAATATTTTCACTTAAGTAGCTGCCACTATTTTGCTCAATTTATTTCAACATCGAGCTCTTTTTAATTTCGCACACAATTTCTGTGCTATTTTTTGAAGTGTGTGTGGTTTCTGTGGTGTTCTTTTCAATTTTACGTTTCAAATAAAGCCCTTTTGAGCAGCGAAAATATTTACACAGTGCCAAAATGATTTTCTATAATTGAACGCGTCTTCAAGATGAAGTATTTATTAAATACAAGTATTTAATTTACTTTCTATATTTGTGCTTAAATAATTGCACTGAAATCGCCAAGAACACATATAGATATATGTTATATATAAATTTAAATGGAAAAGATTTAAATTAAAAAAAAATTAAAAATTGATAGTTTGCTCTCAAAATTTCATTACTTTAAAATTCCGTTTTATATTCCTTAATATTTTATTCCTGCAAATACCCCATGAATAACAGAGGAAACGTCACATACTCTCGTAGACTTATGACCGAGAAGTGTTTTTATACCAAAGTTCCATACAAGAACGCATATTTTCACCAATTCCTGCCATTGACTATATGATAAGGGTTTCGGATGTTGATAAGACGTAAGACAATTCCTATGACTAATGCTAAACTTATGGATGTCCAATACGGGCGACTATAGTACTTGTCGGAGAGGAAGCACTGTAGCATCTCGATAGGCATGAGACCTTAAGGTGTGACCATGGGTTGTGCTGGTAGATACTAGTTCTGGTAGAATGGGGACTCAGTTTGCGAACTGAGGCTGTGTGTGGCTTCGTATGCGGTTGCTAGATCTGGTCTCTCTCTGGTGTCTGTTCTGTGTTTCCGGCGTGGCGTGAGGTGGTCACGTGTGGGTATTTAAGAGACAATAATGAGCAACAAAGGCAACGGGCGACTATAGTACTTATAAATTTTATAATTTCTTTATGAGGATAGCTTTAAGACTGAGAGACTACATAGTTTGGCTAGGATCTGAGAGATGCAAAGACCGACATGCCTATATTGACTCGGTTGTTGATGCAGTTGACGAATAAATATACTTTTTGGGGCCATGAGTGTAACCTCGCGAGCAGAAGAGTCAGCAGCATAGAGAGGACTGCACATTGCGGCTGGGTTTCAGTTGAAGCTGGGTTTTAGTTGAAGCTGGGTTTCAGTTGAAGCTGCAATGCGGCCCGGTACGGATGGTGTGTGGGTATGTGTTCGCTTAAATATACATATAAAAGATGATCTTGAATGTAACCTTGCAAAAAGAGCAGTCTGTATTAATTGTCCACAGAAATGCAGTGCCACTGCGACTTTCAGGGCGGTCTAATGAGGTTTACATTTTTAATAGAGAACACTTTTTTGTATTACACTTACATGTACCTTGCTAAATACCTCATTTACAAATACATTATACACGCGTTGAACCACTTTTACTGGGTAAAGGGTATAAAAAAACTTGCTTATACTATCTTACATTATCACTGCATTCATATACATGTCTACTTTTTTGCATCAAATTTTGAGTGCCAACGAAATGTTCATACAATGTTTTTTAAGCATTTAATTGTATATGAAGCCTTTTTGTGTGTCGAGCACGCAGCCATGTGCGAAATAGTCCAAATTGAGGCCCCTAGCTGCAAGTCTTTGTAGTTTGTTTATCTTATTAGATGTATACAAAAGCCATTTCCCAAATTGAAAAGCTTCAAAAGAGAAAATTTAGCTTCAAGTGAAATTATTTAGCACTGTTTTTGTTTTTACATTAAATATTGTGCTGGGTATGCAATAGTCGAGCACTGGAATACACTGTGCGTTTATATAAAAATCAACTGCTGAAATATGCTTTACCCTATATGTGAGCAGTCATGTGCATTTCGGTATTTAGCAATGTGTGAAAATGTATTCATTTTACTAATTGAAGTGCTGCAGTCAACCATTTTATTTGAATATTGTGTTCTTTTGTTTTTACATATATTTAACAAAAATAACAACACGTGAAAGTGTTTCTTATGATTTATGCATAAAAAAAGCGGAAATATTGATTGCAATATAAAAACAACAAGCACCAATGTTGCAGTCGGGTGCTGCCGAATGCACAATACTCTGTTCAAAGCTTCAATCGCTGAAAAATACTCTTCTGTTTACCTAAACCACAAAGCATTTTTGTCCATATGAAAGTTTGCGTTTCAAGGTAGAACAAATATACTGTGACAAATTTGAATGCAGCTGAAAAACTTAAACTAATTAAAAATAAAACCATATCTTTTTGACAATATTATATTACTACCTGGTCATACTTAATTTCTGACTTAGCACTCAAAACTCTCTGGAGTCGGCTGCAAACTCCCATAATGGACCGTCTTATACGTCACTTAAGTGCCATTAAGTAAAGGCGAATGTAGAAGCGCTGAAGAAGGTGTTTATCATATTTCAATAGATGTGCGCTTTGGTTGTGTGTAAATCAAATGTAATGAGATACAGTAACAGTTACAAGCAGAGTTTTACGGCCTCCATTGTTGCCCAGAGAATCGAATTGTGGACGCTTGGGGCGTGGTCATAAAATTATGAGACGTTTGCGAAACGAGTGACCCATAAAATATCACGTATACGCACAGCACAGAAAACAGACCGAGAGACGGACGGACAGACAGTCGGGTGGCGCACACACAAGAACACACGTAACTGGCGTTGATACTAGATGCGCTTTTATGATTTGTGGCATAATGCCAGCCAACCGAGAAGCAGCTGATTGTAAATCTATGCGGGCAACCGATCCCTAGGCTGTTGCCTGCGGTGTAGTTATTGCTGCTAGGGGTCAGCGCATGGCTT